TGTACAAAAATACTCACTCCTCCTTTCTCCAGTGTTTTCCTACAGTATCTAGCACCTAAATTATAATTTTCTAAGTGAAGATGTTCTAATTCCAGCTGTTTCATGTGATGTTCAGTAAGGCACAGTATGTGTGGAAGATTTGAATTCATGGAGCTTATTAGTTCATTTGTTTTGTTTCTCAGTCCTCTTATATTCTGATGGAATATTCTTAGTACTTTATTATTCACTGAATTTAGTAAACTGCAATTACCTTTTCCGATTTCTATTGGTTCACTAACATTATTGTCTGAAAGATTAGTTTCTTTTGCAATTTCTTTTACTTGATAAACTTTACTTGCACTCTTTACCCTAAAAAATGATTCTGAACACCCATGACTCTAATTGGTCTTTCTGAAGTGCGTAACAGATTTAATTCAATCTTCAGAAGGAGGTTTTAGTTTTTTTGACTGTGTGACCTACTTTTACATGGGTTAAGTAGGAGATTCAGTGGCAAAAATATGTTTTATATATGTACATAGCTGAAAGATTTTAATTCTGCTTTGAATGCAAGTGATATTTTATACAGACAGCATTGCAAAGTACAACACACTGTAATTATTTATTTTACGTTGTCATCCATGTAGAGCCTCCTAATAAGCTACATGTGAACACACTGATCCAAGAGAATATGTCTGCAATTGTTGTTCATGTCACAGGTGGATGAGATCATAGAAATGCTGTTACTTGTGAAAGCAAAGAACACAAAAACAAGTCGGTTGTCGGGTGGTGAGAGGAAACGCCTGTCCATTGCTCTGGAACTAATAAACAACCCTCCAGTCATATTCTTGGATGAACCAACCACGTAAGTTTCTTGCATGCCTTCTATGTGATGTATATTAATTAATGTTCAGTAACATATGCAGCAATAATTACACCAGTTAGTAGTGTCCATCCTAATTTTGAAAACACGTTTAGAGTTAATGCTTTTTTGGAACTGCTGAATGATTTAATTTAGCTTGCCGAGCTTCCACATAACCCCCATTGTCAAGGCCCTGGATTATCTTTCTGAAGGTCTGCACAGCAAGCAAGCCCTGCAGTATTGACAATGGGGAAGAAGTTCAGGTCTACCAAGAATTCTACCAATTCTCAATTTAGTTTTAATATTCAAAATTTAAATTTAAATTTAAAATAAAAAATCACAGAGATACCTGCTCTGTGCTTATATTTGCTGCAGCGGCTACCTCTTGTTTTCAGCACAACTCACACATTATTTTGTGCAGGCTCTCTGTGTGAGTGCCACTGCTTTTCTTCAATAACAAAAATATTAATATTGAGTGCAGTGTGACAGCTACTTGAAGTAGAATACGCCTAATGATGGCCGGTTGCGGCTGAAACATGTAGTGTGAAAGAAAGGGGACAAGAACTACAATAAAGTGTTGCATTTACAACGGAGTTTATATTATACATATAGAAGTGTGGAATGTAATATGATGCTTAAATATAATATAGTATCCAGTTAACTCATTGGGAATCGAACCAACGGCCTTCCTGCTTGTAATATAGTGTTTTAGGCAACTGTGCTACTGCGTGCCCTTAATACTGTGTAGTGTGTTGCAAGTCAGTCAACGTTTCGGAGGAACTCGTCGCCTCCATGTTCAGGGTTCAAGAATGAGGAAAGCAAGTGGCAAGCAGAGCAGAGCTTGCTGAAATTTCAGATTATATAGGAAACAAGAAGGAAAGGAAGACAACAAGTCAGTTCCTGTTGTCTTGCCCTTAGGACAGAATGAACCTTCAGTACCCATTGGCTGTCATGCACAACCAGCATGGTCCTTTGAGTGGCCAGTTATGTTGGTCTAGGAGAGAATGGGAGAATTGGTAAGGGTGTAATGGGCAGCCTCTGTCCTTCTCTTGGATCAGCCCTGGTTTTCATTTCCTTGCTCCTTCCAGGAGAATACTAGTATAGTGCCATGATGAGTTCCTGCCACATCATCATGTCATCTAGCGTTGTGCTGTAAGTTACTGACAGCACTCTTAAATAAACCACTAGTGAGTGAACAGAATGTATAAATTTATTACAAATCTTGTTCTTCTGCTATGAATTACATCACCAGGCGAAAATAAGTAAGTGCCCGTGGCCGTGCCCATGCCACTTCAATTTCATAACCTGCTAGTGCAGGAAATGAAAGAATAGAAGAAACATAAAGAAACTTATGCTGATAGTAAACATTGTCCTCAGGCAAAATATTTAAGAACTCTAAATTTGACAACTTTAAAAATGACATAAATATTGTATTTGAAGCCTTAAACAGATGGTTCGAAGCCAATTTACTCTCATTAAATTTTGATAAAACCCATTACATATCATTCACAACTAAAAACAACCACCAAATTGATCTGGACATCAGTTATGCCAACAAATTAATCTGTAAAGTACTTGATACAAAATTCCTTGGAATACATGTAGACAGTACACTGTCTTGGAAAATACATATTGAACAAATTATACCTAAATTAAATGCAGCTTGCTATGCGATGAGATCAATTAAGCCTTTTATGTCACAGGAAACATTGAAGATGGTTTACCATGCCTACTTTCATTCTATTATGAACTATGGATTAATATTTTGGGGGAACTCTTCACATAGTGTAATAATTTTTAAAATACAAAAGAATATAATTAGAATCATTACAGGATGTAGAAGTAGAGATTCATGTAGAGAATTATTTAAGAAATTAAAAATTCTACCGCTTCAATCGCAATACATATTATCGCTTCTCCTATTTGTTGTTTACAACAAAGATAAATTCAAATTAAATTCTGATGTCTATAACATGAATACTAGACAAAAATATAACTTCCACCTACCCTCATCAACTTTATCAGTATATCAAAAAGGAGTCTACTTTACTGGCATAAAAGTGTTCAACAATCTGCCACAAAGTATTAAAAACTTGGGCAATGATACTAAAAAGTTTAAATCAGAGTTAAAGAATTATCTACATGCTCATTCCTTCTACTCTTTAGATGAATACTTCAATGTAAATAGAGAATGATGTAAAATTAAGTTATATTAATTTTTAAGCTAAAATTGCCTGTACTTATGTATGTAACATTTTGACTTGTTCTGTATCCAAAGGTACTAACCTGCTTAGGATTTATAGAATGTAATTAAATTCAATTCAATTCAAATGGTGCATAAAATCTCTTTTCCTGCCACCTGTGAGTGACAAGTGAAAATAAAATGCTAGGGATAATTGCAGACTGTTTCAGGTGAGGTATATTGTTGCGTGATATGCCTCATGTGACATCTCCGGATACTTGGTTAACACTACAAAAGTAATGACAGAAGGAGTTACTCTTGCCACTGGTTCTGTTCCTTGTTCACAGTGGACTGGATGATCTGTCAAGTTCCCAGTGCATCTCTCTGCTGAAGATGTTGGCTCAAGGTGGCCGAACAGTCATCTGCTCAGTACACACTCCCAGTGCCAAACTGTTTGCAATGTTTGACCATGTGTATGTAGTGGCTGCAGGACAGTGTGTGTTCCAGGGTTCAGGAGCAGATATTGTGCCATTCCTGTATACTGTGGGAATTGAGTGCCCAACACATTACAATCCTGCTGACTTCGGTAAGGCAGTTTAGCAGTATAAGCATATCCTAGAATATATCTTTAGTTTATAATAATGCAATTTGAAATGACTGGAAACTAAATAAACATAGGTCTTATAAATACTCTGTCATATAGTACTCACCTGAAATCATCAGCTTAGATTGCTTGACTTGAATTATCAGTTGACAGGGAAGAAGATTTGAAGATGACCATCCTCTGACATGTAGTCTGGTAGAAGTTTGTCTCTCTCTCTCTTTTTTTTTTGGAGGAATATGTTGTCTCTATCTTCAGGATTGAAGTGTAAGTCAAGCAAGCAACCAACAGCTCTACTTGATGCCTACAGTCTTGCTTGTCACATGCTTGGGCCTATGCTTCACCCCTGAAGATGAGGACAGGACACTCTTCTGAAACATCTATGAACTTCTACTGGACTACACACCATCACATCCTGAAAGTCATACTCATCACAGTGGGGACCTCAAATCCAGTAAAATTTTAGTTAATATTATATTGTAGCATCCTGTTGCACTTTTCGCTTATTTTCAATTAGTTTTTCACAGTTACAAGTGGAACACTGTGTTCTACAAAATCTGTTAAGAGATATTCTCTTCAAATGTGTTTCACTACATGTTTCCACCAATATATTCATCATCAGGTGTTAAAATTATTGGATGAGGAAACTGATGGCTTCTTTTTCTGCATTTGAAAACAAGACACAGCACAACACAACAGGAGGGAACACAACCCGCCACCTCAAACACTCGTGCGTATCGAGGGGACTTAAGTGTTAACAATAAAAGCAACAAAGTAAAAGACAGCAGCTTCCTGCCCAATAATATTAACACCTGATGATGACCATATGAGTCAAAACGTGTAGTGATGGACTTTTAAAATGAATGTCTTTTAATAAATTTTATAGAATGTTAATGTTGCAAGTGAGACTGTAAAAAACTAGTGGACATTAAAATTTTATGTGTTTTTGTGTGTCTGATAACGTCTCTTGGTTAAATAGCTGGAAATGAACCACTTCATTAATGCAGAGCAATGATAATAGTATATGAGTTGGCCATATCTTGAGTGGTCAAATCTCTAGGGCCAGATCTATAAATCTTAAAATGTGATTTAGATTAATATGTGATGTGAAACTGTAACGTTTATATATTCTGTCATAGTTATTGAAGTATCGAGTGGTGAATATGGAGACTTCTTAGAGAAAATGGTTGCTGCGGTGGATAATGGGCATTGTTATTGTTGGTCACAACGCTACACAGGCTCAGGTTAGTTTACAGTTCTCTTAATCCTCTCACTCAGCCATGCCTCATTGCGGCTTTCCCCCCAAAATTAAAAAGATGATAAATCCAGAAGAAATGTAATGACTAGATATTACTTCTTACTGTAGATAGTTTGGGGATACCTGTGATTGCCAGTTGCAGGTGATGTCCCCACTGCTAGATGCAGTAAGTAGTTAAGGCATCCAGTGGCAGTATTGTGTTTATGACAGAAGTTTCAGTAAATTAGACAACTGGAAGAAATGCTGCAATTTAAAATGAGCTGATATGCTTCGTATTACAACATACACCTTACTCTACAGATGAGTATGTGGCATAATAACTTTTAACGTCCGTAGTACCCTGATCGGGCCAGTCATAAGTATGGTCGTCATGGCCAAAGTACCCTGATTTGGCCAGTCAGGCATTTAAACTCCGCTAGTGAAAGCACGCGCACACGCCGCTAGTAGAAGAGCATGCATATTCCTAAATATTTATTTTTAAACGTAGTAATTACCAGACAGACTTGAGTAAAAGGGTGACAAGAGAAATATAGCTAATTATAGGCCAATTTCTCTATTGACCACATTCTCAAAGGTGTTCGAAAAAATTATCTATCAAAGACTCCTGCAACATATTGAAGGTAATAATATTTTAGTAAATGAGCAATTTGGGTTTAGACCAACCACATCAACAGACAATGCATCTTACAAATTGATAAATGAAATTATGAAGGCAATGAATGAAAAAAAAGTGGTTGGGGGCATTTTTTGTGATCTGCAGAAGGCATTTGATTGCGTTAACCATGATATCCTATTAACAAAGTTAGAATTCTATGGAATAAGAGGAATATTCCTCAAACTAATGAAATCTTACTTGGAAGGTAGACACCAAAAAGTGGTCCTAGATAATAATTCCCCTGAGGCAAGTTCAAATTGGGGAGAAATAAAGCACGGTGTCCCCCAGGGTTCAATACTTGGACCATTGCTTTTCTTGCTTTATGTGAATGACTTACCAAAGATAGGTAATAATAAGGCTGAAATGGTTCTTTATGCGGATGATACTAGTATAATTGTGAAAAGTCTCAACCTAACAGATTTTACTAATTGTGCTAACAAAATTCTTCAAGATATGAAAAACTGGTTTACTACAAATTTGTTATCCCTGAATGAGGATAAAACACAGTATATGCAATTTGTAACCAAAAGAAGCTCCCTAGTAGACTTACATGTAATGTATGAGAGTAGAGAAATAGCAAATACTAGTAATGTAAAGTTTCTTGGATTGACATTAGATAGCACTTTTTCTTGGAAAAACCATATAGATGCAATTATTCCTAAATTAAGCTCAGCCTGCTTTGCAGTTAGAGCTATTAAGCCATTCCTGTCCCTCGAATCGCTTAAGTCAGTATATTTCTCATACTTCCATTCCATAATGACCTATGGATTGATATTTTGGGGGAACTGTTATTATAGTAACACAATATTTAAACTCCAAAAGAGAATTATTAGAATTATGGTAGGGATTGGAAATAGGAAATCATGTAGAGAATACTTTAAAAAACTAAATATATTACCTTTACAATCACAATATATATATTTACTTTTGATATTTGTGATTAATAACAGTGAACACTTTAAAAGAAACTCCCAGAGGCATAATAGAGACATTAGGAACAGTCTCGATATGCATTACCCACGGTCTCATCTGTCACTGTACCAAAAAGGCTTACATTATACAGGGATTAAGGTTTTTAATAGACTGCCTGCTCCTATAAAACTATTGTCAAATGATATAAAACAATTTAAAAGCGCATTGAGGGAATTTATGTATCTTTATTCCTTTTATTCACTAGAGGAATATTTTAATATAATACAATAATATACTTTATAATTTTATTTTGATTTTATATTCATAATGTTTATATTTTTGATACTATTATATTTATATCTTGATTTTAGCATACTGTGCAGAAATGTGATAAATCCATTATATGTTTTGGCTATTCTTATTTTATTGTACCTATTTTATTGTTGACAGAGCTCTGTATAGGAACTGTTTTTTCTTTTATAATTAACTTTGACATGTTCTAGATCCTGTGGCATGTTTGTCAATAATGATCTATGGACCAAATAAAAAGTGAAAGTGAAAGTGAAAGTAAAGCCATAATAGAGGAATTAAAATGATACCTAAGTGAACAACAACAGAAAAGAGTATACGTATGAGTTATGTCCAAACTCATCCATAAGCCAGTACTTTTATTGCAGATTCTGCAGATTAATGTGTTAAAAATATGTAGTAAAATTAGATGTCCATACCCTTTTTGTTGTTATCTGCTTGATGTGTATATAGGTTGAAATGAAATTGCAGTACTCGATTTCACTATGAACGCACAGAAAACAGATCGCACTCTGTATCTCAGCCACAATGCAACTGTCTGTTCACACCCATAGAAGGGGCAGTAATCTCTTGCAGCTACAACGGAAGGTCTTAGCACTGAAGAAGCGACCCCTCTAGCTTTTTCTTGAATAGCCAAGCTTTCATTCTTCTGTCTTTAGTCAAAAGATTCGAAAATCCGAAGAGTGTAAGCAGTGCTAGCAGAAGACCAGACGATTTTATTGCTTCCATCTGTTTTATGACATCAGGGACTGCTAAAATTTGTCAAGTGTTACAAGCAGAACTGATTTTGTAATGCAGAACGACTCTGTGAAGATACAGGAAACCATTTTTGCAGTATGCATCAAAATTGAAAGAAAAAAATTGAAAATAGTGTATAATTCTTTGTATAAAAATTTGCAAATCTTATGTTATAATATGCAACACTATGTTCTTTACTGATACAAACAAAGTTAATTCCATCCATTTATCATAAAAATTGTGTTAGATACAGCATTTTTAAACACAATGCTTAAAATTGTTTAATCTCCGGCCAGCTCAAGCTTACCGCCATTTCAAAAGTCCGGCGTTTAAACGTTAATTAACATAAAATAAGTGTTAAGTAGTCTGGGCTCATGAATTTTATTTATATTGTGGCATGTAGACATGGTGCTATGCAGTGACTGCAAAATAAGCAGCTGTACAGCAGAGATTGCTAGGTAACAGCTCCACAAACAAGTATGTTTCCACAGCAATGAGAGCATACAGCAATAATGGAAGAGACCTTCTATGCGTGGTCAGTTCTGACATATTATAGTTAGGACCAGTTAGGAGTTGAAGTTAGTTACAGGACTGCTGGGGTTCAATCATTGTGAGTTGTTGCTGTTAGAAGCTGGTAGCTGAGGCCGGGGACAGTTTGGAAACTCAGAGTAAGGGGAACCAAGCAATGGCAGTGAAGACATGACTGTGGATTAGATGAAGGAGTATGAAGTGGACAGGCCGTGTAGCTTGTGTTGGAAAAGATGAGAAACATATACAAAACATATCAAGGGAATCTTAAGGGAAGGGGCAGCTTGCAATATACAGCCATACATCGGAGAATATTATTGTATTAACATGAACATAGACATAGGGTATGAGTGAGTGGAATGGCATTGGCTGGTTCAGGGTAGGTCCTGTGGTTAAATCTGTTGAAGATGATAGTGAATGTGTATATTGTACACCTCTGGGTACCCTGAAGATGGAGGCAACATATTCTTCCAAGATATAGCGTCCCCCCTACCAGACTTCACAATGTTACAACACAGAGGAACACAATATAAACCTTTAATGTCATGAGAACTTCAAATCTTATGTAATAATCAGTCTTTCAGATTCCATGAAATTAAGAAGTTTCTTGACAAACCTGACCATCTGCCAGCTTTTTAAGAAGCATCCTGTTGTGTTAATATAACTTTTATTTATTCCCTGATCCTGCTGCAGTGAAATTTCTAGATAGCTGGTAATGAATGCACACTTGGAAAACATCTCACTGTACAGAAACTTCCAGGAGGAAAGGTCAGTATTTTAGGAGCTCATAGTATCGGCCATCATTCTAAGCAAAAAAGTGTATATATATATATATATATATATATATATGTGTCTTATTCCGAACGGTTTCCGAGATGGGGCTATTTCACTGTGCAGTATACTGTACAGACGAACAACAATCCGTGTCCTGACACAAGTTGCAAAGTGCATTGGTGTTGACAGTGGAATTTTCGAAAATGTATTATACTAGGTAAACTGTACCAACTTCGTCACTTGAACAGTAAATGCTGGTATTAGAAACAGTACATAATATCTCTTTCTTATCAACAGTTTTGTAGAACTGTACGGAAAAACAGCATTTTCTCAGAAACCGTTTAGAATAGGACACATTGATGGGCTGACCTTTTCTGCTAGATTGCTGTGATTATTGTGGGATTGGCTAGGTTAGGTAACTCAAGTGGTAAAGTTTTGACTGTGTGGAAGGTCCCGTTAACAGGACAATACGGCAGTCATGCACCATGTGGCAAAATTCACTTTGATGATAAAAGAAAGTGCCTTTATTATAATTGACCAATTTATACTCTTTAATGTTAATTACTTAAGTCACAGAAATGATAGGGCGTAATGGTGGTCAATTTCTAGCTCACTTCAATTTAACCCATATGTAGATAGTAATGTGTTGGAAAAAAATTTCTAGAATCACCAAATGCATCAGTTGATTTATGAAGTTGCAACAGAAATCCCCTGAGATGACTTGTACATATGATGCTTTAGCCCTCCAAGAAGGGGTGTCAGATGCTAACACAGGTTTCTCATTTCCAGCTGGCTGAATTCAGAATTCCTCACCCTTATATCAAATGTGTGCATTCGTATTGGTTAAAAATAATGAAGTCATGTCATCGTAACTAATTCGTTTCCATGTATAGAAGCAAGCCATCAACCACAGGACCTACTCTGAGCAGCGGGACCACTCTGGACCTTATATATGGTGATGGAGATTGCCTTGTGTTCAGATTTCTGGCTCCAAACCCCACACAATTCTTGCATGCTTCGAGACCAATTAACAAATCCGAATCTAATCCAACAGTTAAATATGCTTATAATCCTAGGCAGCTACACAAGATTATATGATTCATCAGACATTCTTACAGTGGCATGTATTCAAGGATGTGACTCTGTACTATGGTAAATAGGTATCAGCCATTTTGGAGGAACCTGCTGCTTCTATGTTCAGGGCAGAAGACTGATCCTGAGGTTGTATGTAGCAGGTCACTCAAAAACGTTGATATCTACCAAACTGCAGGGCTTTACACCCCAGAAGACTGTGTTTTGAAGACTAATAGCATTCTCTTATTTTCCAGCAAGTCACTGTAAAATAGAGGCAAATGATCCCACAGAAGATGATCATAAATTAGATTTCAGCAGTTCATGTTGGCAGCAGATCAGAACATTAACATGTCGGATGCTACTTCAGATGTACAGGGATAGGGTGAGTCATGTCATTACTGAACACTTCTGAGTTTCATTTGGAAGGTGCCTAGTTCAGCTCTCAGGTTGCACAGAACTGTCAGGAACTTTATATCTCAAATTCCCACTAACATGCTGGAATGATTTAGGTTAACCTTTAATGTCCGAAGTGCCCCGATCAGGCCAGTGATGAATAAGGTCATCATGGCCAAAGTACCCCATTTTGGCCAGTCAGGCATTTAAACTCTTCTAATGGAAGTGTGTGCACAGGCCACTATTAGAAGCACATGCATAGTTCTAAATATTTATTTTTAGACGTAGTAATTACCACACAGACTTGAGTAAAATCACAATAGAAGAATTAAAATGATACCTAAACGAAGAAGAACAACAAATGGTATGCGTATGAGTTATGCCCGAACTCATCCATGAGCCAGTACTTCTATTGCAGATTCTGCAGATTAATGCATTAAAATATATAGTAAAATTCGATGTACATACCTTCTTTTTTTTTTGTTATCTGTTTGATGTGTATATAGGCTGAAATGAAACTGCAGTATTGTATTTCATTGTGAACGCACAGAAAACAGATCGCACTCTGTATCTCAGCCACGATGCAACTGTCTATTCTGGACCCTAGAAAGGGCAATTATCTCTTGCAGCTACTACGGAAGGTCTTAGCACTGAAGAAGCGACCCCTCTAGCTTTTTCTTGAATAGCCAAGCTTTCATTCTTCTGTCTTTAGTCAAAAGATTCGAAAATCCGAAGAGTGTAAGCAGTGCTAGCAGAAGGCCAAATGATTTTATTGCTTCCATCTGTTTTATGACATCAGGGACTGCTAAAATATGTCAACTGTTACAAGCAGAACTGATTTTATAATGCAGAACGACTCTGTGAAGATACAGGAAACCATTTTTGCAGTATGCATCAAAATTGAAAGAAAAAATTGAAAATAGTGTATAACTCTTTGTATAAAAATTTGCAAATCTTATGTTATAATATGCAACACTATGTTCTTTACTGATACAAACAAAGTTAATTCCATCCATTTATCATAAAAATTGTGTTAGATACAGCATTTTTAAACACAATGCTTAAAGTTGTTTAAGCACCCTAACAGGAACGGACATTTAAATGCAAAGTAGCAACAGGCATTTAAATAAACTCCGGCCAGCTCAAGCTTACCACTATTTCAAAAGTCCGACATTTAAAGGTTAACAGACTTTTGGAGTACTCAGTATTTTCATCTCTGTCTCATAGCTTCATCCAGACTTTCTCTGTTTCTGATTATTTTCTTTTCCTTCCAGTTCATCTCTAGCCGTTTCATGTATACATTTTGTTATATAATCACAATTCTCCTTTACGTTTTGGAAATGTTCTTTTTCAAACCTATTTTCAAGTCTTTGTTCATAAAGATGTATTTTACTTTCGCTGTAAATTGTTATATTTCATGTCCCTTGTTGTCAGCTGACCAGAGAGATGAAAGCTTCTATTTATATTGCTAATGCAAGGCAAACAAATGTTTTTCTCACTGCAGATTGATCTCTCCCACAAATTGCTATCCTGTATTCCTGAACATTCTGTATTTCAATTTTTGACTCCTTGTTTGTTATTGCGTGATCTATAATCAGTTTCAGGTTTTGCCTCTGTTATACCCATGTATATTTATGTTTATTCATATGTTCAAAGAGTTCAGTCCAAGTCCAAGTTTTGGGAGTATTCTGCGATTCGTCTCTGTCAATTACCACACGCTTTTCTTTGGCTCAAGTTCCCCTCTTCCAGGTCATCATTTCTCCTCCCTGTTCTTCCATTTAAATCTCTCACAGTTATTATCAACTCTCTCTTTCCACCCACCCATACAATAACTTCATTTAATTTTTCATGAAATTTGTTCTTTATTAAAGTGTTCTTATCTTCATTGGAAGCATCTATTCCTAAAATTATTATTTTGTATCCATATGCCGCCATATTCGTGAGCAAGAATATTTAATCTGTTAATTCCCACTTAGTTCTATACTCCCTCAATTTCTTGTTTACAGTGACAGAGATTCTTCCTTTTTACTCTTTCATATTATCCCAGACCACTAAAGAAATATGTAAGAACTCTTCTAGTTTTACATTTTTTTCTTTCTATTGCTACTATGAACATTCCATGTGCCATATTTCAGTATCCTCTTCCACAGTCACAGTGTTGTTATATGTTGGCTCCTTGGCCATTGTTGACTTTCATGAGTGCTAGTGCTGGATAGCTGACCCAGTGCCTCAACCCACAACATCGAGGACAAGAGACAGAATTTTGGGGTGTTTAAGCCTTAGACTGATGGCATCCACAAGGCTGGGGGAGCCTGGTTTATCCATTGTACTCATAGGTTATTTCTAGCTTGCTCTTGCCTCTAACCAAATACCAGCAAAACTTGTTGTTATGATCTGGTATTTAGGTACTTAACCTTCCTACAACTACAAGGTTATAACTTGCACAGGGGCTATAAATTGTAGCTATTAGTGACAGAATTAGTAAATAAAATACAGACAAACAAACAAACATACAAACAAACAGATAACTTTGAGGAGTGGGAATTACATGAAAGGCATTTTGAGTGATTTAAATTTATATAATTTTAATGATTTTCAGAGCTGTGGCACAATTATAAAATTGCCTCTGCCTTTGCAAACATATGAGGTCTCAGCTGTAAACACCTAAAGCCTGAAAGCCAGAAAGTAATAACACTGTTGCAAAAGAGACTGTTTAGCACAAGCGGAAAGTTAGGTAAGGTAGTAATTTTAATAACGATACAAACTTAACCTCCTTTTTATAGCTGGGCTTTGCACTATTGGAACAGTGCCTTCACACAGGGTTCGGCTAGCCAGGCCTTGCATTTCTTCAATACAGTTGTGCCATATAAGAGTTAAACTCTGGCCAGCATGTAATGAAAATGTATAATTTGCATATTTTGGAAGGGGTATGTTGAGAAGAGGGGCACACGGTAGCATAGTTCATGGAGGCACTATGCTACAAGCCAGAATGTCGCAGGTTCAAGTACCAATGAGGTGGATTTTTTCAATTTACCTAGTCCTTCCAGCCGCACTATGGCCCAAGGGTCAACTCAGCCTCTAACAGAAATGAGTACCAGGAATCTTCCTTGGGGCTGGGGAATGTGGGAACCTCGACGTCTCACAACTGTATGGGCCTTCATGGCCTGTTAGAGGGATAGCTTTTTTTATGTTAAGAAGAGGATTTATGTTTTCTGTAATAATAAGGGTTTTAAAATCCATAATTTCTCCACAGATGAATGTAAGCTATACTTACAGAATAAGTTAGGAGTCGGGATATCTCTCTGTATAAAGGATACAGCTTGATGACTGGTAAACTGGGGTTTGTGTCCCAGTGGGGTTAGAAATTTTTCTATTCTTCACAACGTCTAGACCAGTTTGGGGGCCTACTGAGCCTGCTAGTAAATGGATACCAGGCTTCTTTCCTCCAAGGTGGAGGGTGGTAAATTTGTCAGGACATGAAAGCTGACCGCTTATCTCTATTTAAGGTTAAAAGTTACATTAAAGGTGCCTCTGCTTTCCTTGGAGCAAAGTGGCCATTGTTCAAAGTTGATCAGTTTCCTCTCTCTAGTGATGAAGTTAAAAATGCATGGAGCATGCAGTGCATTCCACTTCCCCATATGTCTTCATGGCATGTTTCTTAAACACAGAGAAAACTTTACCTTGTTACATTTTACTGAATGTAAATTCTAAGTACAAATCTTTGCTTCCTTTCCAGAGTTATTTGTACCTTCAAGGGCTGATGTACTTATTCCTAATATTTATTATTGGAAGCTTATATTATAACATGGGCTTTGATGGGGCAAAGCAACTGTACAACTTTGGTTTCTGCTACACCTGTATCATCGTGTTTCTGTACCTGCCAATGCTTCCAGTCCTTCTGCATTGTAAGTACTGTGTTAAGGTATTCATTTGCTTTTCCTGTATCCCCTGTAGCTGCAGTGAAGGAACACGAAAAACATCATGTAGTACACGCGGGGGGAGAGATTCTTATTGCATTTCCTCTGCCTTGTGGATCTTTTCCTGTGCTGTAATGCTCTGCATTACAGATGTTCAGGTTATGGCGTTTTGCCCTTACAAGAAAGATAACCATAACCATATGTGCATACATCATTGATGCAACAAGATCTGTGGCTTGCTACTGGTTAGTCCATATTCCTGCATTAGTGACCTTGGGGCATTGGGCTCTAGCATATTTCCTTTTCCCATCTTATTTTGAACTCTGCACTGTATTACCCTTAGTGAAGATCAGTATTAGAGTTAATTTTACCGACCACACAACACGTTTTATTTACTGTCACACTACATGTTTTGACCTCAAGAGGTCATCCTCAGGTGTACGAACACAGTTGCACAACCACACACAATCACATTAGTTTTTCCACTTATTTTGATCCTGTATCCTGTTCAGGTCCACGCTCAATAATATGTGTCAAGTTCTTCTTATAAAATATAAGTTAAAAATACAAATGTTAAAAGTTAAAATTTAAAATTTAAAATTTAGTTCACTGTAACTAGTTATATTATTACCACTTGGTTAAAAAGTTAAAAGTAAAAAGTTGGTTAAAAAGATATTATTGAGCGTGGACCTGAACAGGATACAGGATCAAAATAAGTGGAAAAACGAATGTGATTGCGTGTGATTGTGCAACTGTGTTCGTACACCTGAGGATGACCTCTTGAGGTCGAAACATATAGTGTGACAGTAAATAAAAATCGTGTTGTGTGGTCAGTAAAATTAACTCTAATATTGATTAAATACACAACAGGATGCAAGAAACAATTAAACTTAGTGAAGATGTTTGGAAAAGGTCATCTAATTCAAGCACAAGTAATAGTATTTAATTTATTTTTGCATATGTACTATTAGTTCTGATGGATGAAATATGTGTTTTTACTACAACTGTGAACCAAACAATTTTGACAGGAAAGCATCTTCACTTATAACATGGGAGCCAATTGAGAAATATGGTTTATATTGTGACAAGTAGGAATTTGTAGGAAATGAACTGACAAACACGTTTTTACAGAGATGCAGTTCATGGACACAAACAATCACTGGGTGTTTAACAAACATGTCCATTAATATGAAAATGAAAAGGTGTAGACTTGTGGAAACCAGACTGTTGCTGCAGAATCAACAAAGGTTTACACAGCAACAAATAAGCGCACAATAATAGAGGAACTGTTGGAGGTAGTGATCCCAGGGTGAACATGTGAGAACGCTCAGGACAGTTCACTAGTTGAGTTGGGTTGAGTGTTCAACTGTGGAGTGTTGTTGAAGAATCACCATCACTGAGATCTGTTTTTAGGAAACAACTTGTGAAAACTTTGCAGAGGAATAGCCATTGTTGAGACCTGTTACCAAGCAACAACTAGTGAAAGCTTACTTGGAAGACTTGGTGTGGAAATCAGTAATACTGTTACAGTTATTTGTAGTTATGACCTTTGAGTGGTCAGTAAATCCAATCATCGAACCCCAAACCCATTATTATTGGTCATGGAACCCTGGACACATGACAGTATGGACACTTTTTCAAGAACAGCTCCCTTCTATAGTGCCAGGACATGTTTGCATCGCATTCACACCTGCCCCACCACATTGTATGTTCATATCGATGTGTAAGAAGCATCACTTTCCTCTTCTGTTTCTTTGCAGTTCCGTCTGAAGTGCAGCTTCTCAAACGAGAACATTTTAATCGATGGTACAGCCTCCGTGCATATTTCTGTGCGTTATCCATTGCAAAGTTGCCTTTACAGGTAAGACTGTTATGGCATCATGGACTCAAGTGGTCCTGTTGTAAATGATCTGTCAAGTTACTGCAGTTCTGTGATTAAAAATGACAGTGAGACAAGGAGTAAGGCACAGTTAATGTTGTCATCTGTAACTACCTGTGCCCTATTTCTGCAAGACATTGTAGTTTCTGCATTATATACATAAATGTATGTCTCCAGAAGATAGTAGGGAGGTTGAATGGGCAGTGAAGCCCTAAAATGGAGGCTTATACAACACCTGTGACTTTTCTAACAAATTTTATGGCAGTTCCATCACTTAACAAATTGAAATTTACTGCATGCCAGTGCTGATCCATCAGGTGAGAGGTTATTACTGCTTCTACAGGTGTCAGTCAATTACAGAGAAACTTTAAATGTCTCATATAAAAGCTTGAGAGTGCTGAGGCATACAGCAGTTATCAGTTAACTGATATTTACTTGTTCTCTTGAATTTCCATTTTGAATATAATATCATTTTCCAGTTTTGTGTGGAAATATGACTGACCTACCTCTTACACTCCCAGTCTAGGACCATGGCAGTAAATGTGTTAAGTTAAAAGCTCTGAAGTACAAAACTGAAATCATTAGATTTACATGTGTCCAGGTCTGCTATTGTGGATACAGATAAAAATAACTCATTGCAGATTTTTAATTCTTGGGGTGAGATGGGACTGAGCTCACTTGGTACGTCGGCCACTAATTGGCCTATTGTACCGGCCCCGGATGATAGAAGACAATGATTGTGAAGCAGTGAGTGGAATGAAGAGTGGCAGGAGAAACTGAATTACTCGGAGAAAACCTGCCACAGTGTCACTTTGTCCACCACAAATCCCACATGACCTTACCTGGGATTGAACCTGGGCCACTGCAGTGGGAAACCAGCGATTGACTGCCTGAGCTGTGGCACGGCTTCATTGCAGACCTTGGTATGCCATTAAGAAGGGACTGAAAACATATCCTCATGTACAAAAGGCTAGTGTTTGTTATTTGGCTATTAATGTATGCTACCAGTCAGAATATAATATAATTAAAAATATGAGCAGAAGATGGCAGCAGTAAGTAACGATGGGAAGCTTGCTTGAGCTGATACTCCAACATCCATCTTTGCAAAAACGTTCAAAGTCTACCTGTTTGTAGCAACACTGCTTAGTGCATATTGCTATTCAGTCAAGGTCAACATATTAGTATGAAAAGAGTGGAACACCCTTCGAAGGTTTCTCTGGGGACAAGTAGATTTGAACAGTAAAGCAAGTAAAAACTTACATGAATGTTATTTAACACTGACATTACTGACTTGGGTGTCACTGAAATTTAATGATAATTGAGGAAAAACCTTAAACCAAGGGATGTAACTGGAGGTTCAGTTGTATAACTGTCTTCCCAGAACTTTTGAAATTAATAGTGTTCATTGAAGTAATGACTTCCATGTGATCCTCAGGGACTATAACGTATGAGAGCAGAGCTCAGTGCAGTAAGCCCAGTATGACCAAGCTTCCTGTAGAAATGGCAGCAGGTGTTACGTTAGTTACAAAATAACAATGAGCAGAATAGGAGGAGTAAGATTGACATGTCAGACATTTTCTTTCTAGTGTTGCTGAAGTCGCTTATGTTTATGTGTCTTGTAACTTCATTTTTCTGTGTCTTACAGATTTTCATCGGCACAGTTTATGTTTGCTCTGTGTACTGGATTTCAAACCAGCCACTTGAGTTGGCTCGACTGTGCCAATTCCTTGTTATCTGCCTCCTGATTGGCTTTGTTTCTGAGAACCTTGGTTTAACCATATCATCTAGGCTTGATATTGTTGTAAGTATAATTAAAAACAGAGATTATAAGTAGCATATCATGACTAACCAGTTCTTCACAGTGGAAAATTGGCCTCTTATTTAGTGGCCTTTTTTGGTTCACAGATTCTGTTTGTGTACACTGGACAGTGAAATGCCATATTTTTCTCATTTTCCCACTTAACTGAGATATCTGATAGTCTGAATTTATTGGTATTGCAGTGAAACCTCCAATTAGCATTCAGTGTTAATGATCCATAGTCAGTAACCTCACTGTTAAATTACTTCCATTTAAGATTTTCCTCAGTTTACTATTCAAATGCATTGCTTCCCAAAGAAACCATAAATGGGAGTTTCGCCCTGTACAGAGTTTAAGGAAGTGAAGGAGTTTTTGGAGTGAAGCTCCATTAGTTTCTGTATTATCTGTTGTAAGTGTAACATCTGACTTTACAAAGTTTAAATTGAGATGGTTACTTTCTTTATTTTTATTTTTAATAATTTGGAGGGTTATATGAAATGATATTAGTCTTGTGCTATCACAGACCTTATGAATAGGATGTATAGAGGAAATTGTACACATCATCACATAATAAGGGTGACTATAGACTGGGTTTGGATTTGTAATTCAAAATATTGAAAACTTACTATCGTAGTTACAAGTAACTGTAATAATGTCACTAATTCACACACTCTACAGTTCACTACAGCATGCACTAAGTCCTCTCAGTTTGCCATGTGTTCACTGGTTGTCTGCTAATGGCTTCCAACAATGTAGCTTCCTCAGTTTCCATGTTCACATCCTTGCTGGCTGGCAGCTGTCTCACAAATAACTCGGCATTCCTGTGCAACAGCCTCCAACTGTCTCACAGCAGCTTTGACTGGTCTATCTGCTCGCTGACTCCATCTAGGTACTCAACCCAGTAAATTGCTGCTGGGCCTCACTCACACAGTTGTTCTTGGTATTGTGACCCATGGCCATATTTTTCTTTCCAGAGTTTTATGTGTTTTGAAATGGGACCTCCTCTTCAACAAAAGGAGGGGTCTGACTGCTGCTGATCACTCCCCTGCTACTAAGGAGTGACTGTGCTGGCTCACTCCCTCACTCCCTCACTCACCCACCCATCCACTCACTCACGCTCTTGGTTGGCCTGTGTTTTGATTATCACCTCTGCAGAGTAAGAATGAAGTAAAGCTATTGACACAGTCCCACTAGGCTGTGAGATGTCGAGGCTCCCAAGTTTTCCAGACAGTCATCTTACAGATGGCAGTGAGGTTGTCAGCCATATGTGCTGGCTGTCCTTTAGTCCCAGGAAAATTTCTGATACTTGTTTATGTTAGCCATCTCTGCTGCTTAAACTATTTTGGCTTTCAGCAGATTCTACAATAATTTTGAGTAGTGCTGCTTATGCGTTAAGGTCTGGTATAGTACTAGAAGATGAAATGTACATGAAGTACCTATATCGAAGTGATGTTACAATGAAGTGGCATTTTATACGGTCTATATGCGATTTCTTTTGTAAATGTTAATGATATGGTTGACTGTATTAATCCAAACAAATAGATAATTACCTTCACCTGTAAGCAGCATTACTAAAAAACATGCAAAATTCCCTCAACCCACTCTATGAAAAAGGTCTGATAATGGTGTAAGACTGACACCAAAAGATGTAACTTTTAATTACTATAACTAAAGTTTTTGTTTCACTGAAATCTGGTCACCAATGAAAACCTTTCTTCACTCATTACATTGGGAAAAAATGGTGTTTCTAACATATGTTTCCTACTAAAATACATCCTGAGGTTTGGTTTCTGAATTATTCCCATCAGCATAAGGAAACCTAGGAATATCCTAATTTCATTCGAAGTTATGGGAACCCACTTTTGAAAGCGCTATTTTATTAGCGTCGGGGCAAGAAACTGTCCCGCCAGACAAGTTACGTGACCAAATGCCATGGGGCTCTGATAAGAAGGTGTCGCAAAGCAGAAAAGGAATAACAGATTCATAAATGTTGACACAGGCGTCAGGCAACTTCGACCCCAAGGTTCGTAACATCGTAAATCAGACACAGCTTCTTTGTTGCCAGTAAGCCAAGCCAGTAAAAAGAAATACACACACAGATAACAAGCACTCAATGAAAGTTAGCTAACAAATTATCTCTCTGTAAGCAAGTCGGAGTGTGAGTTGGAACAATTCTTTCGTAAGCAGCAGACACCAGATGCTTTGTCCCAAGCAAAGCGAGTAAAAAAAAAATACCACACACAAACATATAGCAAGGAATGAAAGAAGTCAGTGTTAGCTGACATATACATTCACTGGAAGTACACACATCAGAGCGTAGGCGTTAAGAATTCTTAGTGAAAAGTTTGGACGCAATATATGCAGCGCGCACGCTTACAGCACGGCTTTGAGTGGCCACAGACGGTGAGTCGCACATGCTTAGGGATTTAAATGGCTCCGCTAAAAGTCACCCTCAAGGGGTTAAGAGATTACAGATCTTACCTCTTCCATGTAACTATATATTCTCGTTATTAAGCTTCATTATAAATAACCAAGAACGTTTTCAGACCAGTTCGGATGTACACAGTGTTAACATGAGAAACAAGCACCATCTCCATAGACCGGTTGCTAACCTGACATGTTTTCAGAAAAGTGCATATTATTCAACAATCTACCGTCAGTCTCTGAAGTCTAATGAATGAAAAGGCGCAATTTAAATTGGCTCTGAAACGATACTTAAATACACACACATTCTACTCTCTTCATGAATTCCTAGTGCCTAAAAATGGCTCGTCCTTTTAAAAGGTTATATACATAGCATAACTTGACAGCATTGACTTATATATGTATTTATGGCTTTTGTATTTGTATGACTTGTTCCACATCCCACAGTCATTCTGACTTACTTTGGATCTATGGAATATAATGTATGTGTGTATGTATGTATTTCATTCTTAACAATTAAAGACCATCACATGCTTCATATAGTCTAGTATATTTTCCTTATTAAATGTTCATATACTGTATTCCACTAATCATATTTCTTTACTAAACAGTGTTTCACTATAAATTTTCTGTATTTGTGATTCCTGTCATCAGTTCCCTTATTAAACAGACTACTTGAGTATATAGTGTTTTCCACTGTTCAGTTTTCCTTATTAAATCTACCACTTTAGAAAATATTGTTTTCCACCAATCAGTTTGCCTTATTAATCATAACACTCAAGAGAATATTGTATTTCACTACCCAGTTTTCCTTACTAAACTGGCCGCTTCAGAGTATAGTGTTTTCCGTTAATCAGTTTTCCTTGTTAAACGTAGTGATTGTAATATATTGTGTTACACTAATCATTTTTTTATCTTCCTTAACAGAACAGTATTTTTATTGGACCAGTATTGTCAGTTCCGCTAATGCTGTTTGCGGTTTATGGAATGGGTGCTGGTACTACCAGCATTCCGATCTACATGCGAGTACTTATGTGCCTGAGTTATCTGCGCTTTGGGTTTGAAGGCCTCATGTATGCCGTATATGGTAATGATCGGTCCATGATGCCCTGTCCTCCTGAAGAGATATACTGCCACTTTCGCAGCCCAAAGACTCTTCTCCTTGAGACTGGCATGGAGAATTCGAACATATGGGTGGCTGTTCTAGCACTTACAGCATACATGATATTCTTTAAAGCTATGAGTTATTTCTTGCTACGCTGGAGGTTGTCACGACATCGTGACTTTGCTGCTCTCAACTATGTTGGTCGAATAATCAAGACACATTTCAATTTCACACAACAGCACAAGTGATGGATCTATGTTTCACTGGGTGGTAGCCATATTTTGGATTTAAGCACATGCTTTAAGCAATCGAATTGTAATTGGACTGAAATAATCAGCCTTTCCTTGCTGGATTTCAGGTTTTTGAGGCAGTGACTGTGAAGAGTACAGTATCCTGTGTTGTAATGACATGTAATTTGGAGAAAGCTTGGCAAGTCAAGCAAGAAACCAGCAGCAGCAGCACCACAGGCCTTGGGTTGCAGATGGTGTGTTTCTGCGAAATGCCAGGCTGTCTCTGAACTACATGGTGTTACATCTCAGAAGACTGCAGTCTTCATAATCCTTTCCTTGTCTGCTGTGATATGTATCTGTTATTTCATGAATGTTGGACTGAGTTAAGAATTCTTGATGATATGTTGTACATATGCTCTCTAATTTGTGTTTTAACTGACATGATATTTTGTTGAACTTGAAGTATTTGTTGTTAAGGAAAAAAATTCATTCTCTGCTGTCACAAAGTTTCTTTGATCGATTGAATGAATGATTCCTTCTTGAAGCTTTTCTGTACCAGTATTTGTTTCATTTTAAATTAAAATAATGAAAATTAATTGTCCTAATATTTTTTTCTGTATTAATAGTGTGTTGTATTATCTACACTTTTGGACCATTAATTGAGTAGAGCAAATTGACATTGCCTTTTCTTAATCCAATTTGCTGCTATTCTGTGATGCTGATGTTGCCACATTCTAGGCCCATATTATCAAACACAATCATGTCAACGCCAACAGTAGTATAAAAGAAGAACTGGTCTGTCGAATGCAAGAGCAGAAGAATAAGCCAAGAGAGTTTGGCAGGGTATCCCATAGGATATATGGCCACTAGGACAGAGTGTATATCACCTGGAACTCACCTAGCTCTCTTCATGGATGATACCTGCATGTATGAAATAAAGAGCAAACTGCAATGCAGCCTTACTGCAGTGAAATTGTGTCTTGAAGCTGGAATATAAAGTTCAGTGAGGAACACACTCGAGCGATCTATTTCTCTAGCAGACTTAAGGTACTTGAGGACATACTGCAACTAAACTGACAGAATGTCCCCTTTATGAATAACGTAAAGTAGCCTGATGTCATCTTGGACAGGAGGCCAAGGCCCTGAATATGTACATAAGGATGTATTCTGTATTAAGACATGGGTGTTTAAATATCAATATTAAAGTTACTCTTTATATTGAGGCCGCACCATAGCTCAAGCGGTTAGGCACTGGCTTCCCACCATGGCGACCCAGGTTCAATCCCGGGTCTGGTCAAGTGAGATTTGTGGTGGACAAAGTGGCACTGTGGTGGGTTTTCTCCGAGTACTTCGGTTTCCCCTGCCAATCTTCATTCCACCAAATTCTCCATCATCATAATCACCTGGGGCAGGTACAATAGGTCAATCAGTGGCTGCCATGCCTAGTGGACCCAGTTGGACTCCACCCCCTACTAAGCGAATTTTTTACTCCTTATATTACTCTAATTAGATCAATAATGGTTTATGCCTGCTCCACCTGGGAGTATGGGCAGGTGTCCAACCCATGAAACTGCAGTGCCTATAGAACTGAGTTCTTACCCTTTCAAAATGAATCTTTGCAAAGAAAATTATTAATATGAAAATTGTAGAAAATTTCAGTGTTCTGCCATAGGGGGGGGGGGGCTAGGTAAATTCATTGATCTCTTTGGCGTTTGCCTCTTTGGCTTCGAGTTCGCAGTTCTCCTGGGACGCTTGGGGGATGCAGGAGGCGATAGGGGTAGGGTGTCTGACGTGTGGGATGGGGTCTATTAATATTACACCACATTCCTATTCTACTCTTCTTCTCACGGGACTCCGGGTCTCCTATACCTCTCTCTCTCTTACACCGTGCCGTGGACCGTGCTTCGGTATTCTTAAGCCTGTTCTATATAGTCCTCACTCCCACTCCCTGGGGTTTGCACTTTAATAATGTTACCCTCAATTTTCATGGCTATAAGTGGTAGTTCCACTTACTTGCGGCAGTGATGCAGAAGAACATCACCATCCAGCACTCTCTCAGTGTCATCTCGACGATGGCCTTCGGCCACAACTCTACTGAAAATTTCTGATAAAATCTCCCTTTTTAGTTTCCTCTAGTATTTTTATACCCTCTTTTTGCTAACTCGTCAACTTCCGGGAGGGTGTACTCCTACCCGCAATGACATGGCTAGCTCTCATTGGCTGCCTGCCGATAAGGGGTTCGGGTTGTCCAGTCTGGCCGCCCTGTTGACTCAGCATTTTTACCTCAAAGCGTCTTCCTGGTCTACCTTCTTATAACCTACTTCCTTCTCGTCAGCATTCCGTTTCATATTTCCTAACTGTATTTCAAAATACTTGTTCTAGTCTAGCCCCAAACATATTAACATTGAAAACATAATACCTTCCATAAACCTGAGGGCATAACATTCAGTGCTCTGAAATTCCACATGAGCCATAAACGTTAATAATGTTAAAAATAAGATTTTATCGTAGTATTGAAATTTTTTCTTATGGGATTACGTGAAGAACATTGTCTACCAGGTAAAGATCAACGACCTTCAACAGCTGGAAGCCTGCATAAAGGGATGCAGTGGCTATGGTAACACCAAACATTATTCAAACAACGTGGAACGAGGTCGAATATTGTCTGGATATTTGTCGTGCCACCAGTGGAGCCCACATTGAAATTTACTGAAAATTTCTGAGTTATATACTTGGAAAAAAACTTTGATAGTTTCCCTTTGTAATGGTATACCCATAAATGTGTATAATAAATGCAGTCTGAGATATAGTTATTTTATTTTAGATACCTTTCATCTGGTCACCAAGTATAACAAAGGAATTAAGATTTTTCTTATGGAATGTTAACCTTTATTTATAGCTTTCATTGAATATATGTCCGTTGTGTTCATTATATTATATATATTATTACAGTCCATTACCATCAACACTTATTTACAAATTCGTCTTTGGCATATATGTTTGACTTCTACAACATCAGTTGTCTTCCCACGTAACAGTTTTGCAGCTCCTCCTCAACTATGCAAATTTTATGTTCCACGTTATCCTCTTATACATAACGTATACAATTTTTACACAGTAATTAAAGCAATATGTATGACACATAGTGACAGTGCACCTAAAATTTCCAATTTTATTTAACATTACATAGTATAATTAATGATTTAAATTACTATCCCTGAATGTTTATATATTAATGTATTATATTATTATATGTAATGTTTATACATAAACACTCACTGCCACCAAGAGGCTCATATCTCGTATGAGTTTTATTTTTTTTTATTGCTAGTGGGCTGGGACTAAGTCCCTTGTACTGCAGCCACTTCTCGCCTATTGTACCAGCCCCAGATGATAGGTGAGGGTGACTGTGGAGCAGTTGGTGGAATGAAGATTGGCAGGGGAAACTGAAGCACTCAGAGAAAACCTGCTTCAGCGCTACTTTGTCCACCACAAATCCCACTTAACCAGACTCGGGATCGAACCCGGGCCGCCGCGGTGGGAAGCCAGCGACTAACCACTTGAGCTATGGTGCGGCCCTCATTGTGTGAGTAAGTGTTCATGATAATGAATTACAATAAAAATATATATTTTAATTATGTATGGCAATGGTTGTATTAATAATAATAAACAAAGAGCATTTGCTTGGAAGAACATCACCAGTTACAAAGTGTTAATAATTAAGAAACATATATGTGAGAGGATGTTGCACAAGGTTCTCACTCAGCGCGAATAGGGATTAGAGCAGTCTTGTGATAGTGGTTTCACTCATAATGTTAAACTATAACAGACACACTTTTCTCTGTAAATCTCTCTCCTCCATAATATAGAGTGTTTCAAACTCATTTATGAAGATTTGAGGTTTTCACGGCGGTGACTATGAAGAAAGTAGTCTTCTGGGATTTGGCAACGTGTATATGTGGTGTTAACCGACGTTTCGGAGGAACGTATCGCCTCCATCTTCAGGGTAGAAGGAAAAATATAAGGAATCCGCAGGCGAAGACACCGGGTGTATACAGTATCACGTGCGAGTGGGGCAAGCTCTATATCGGGCAGACAGGCCACTCCGTGGACATGAGGTTGAAGGAGCATCAGCGGCACATCCATCCCGAACATCTGGACAAGTCAGCCGTAGCTGAACACAGCATCGTTCTGGGACACCGCATTCAGCTTCAGAATACCTCCATCCTCGCCACCAAGACCCGCTATATGGATCGCATCATTAGGGAGGCAATTGAGATTGAACTCTATCCCGAAAATATGAACAGATAGGGGGGGGGTTGTCTCAGCAAGTCATGGAAGCCCCTTATCTGTTCTCTTAAAAAACCCCCGCAGGAATATGACACCAGATCCAGAAGGCTACACAGGCCATGACCGACTAACATAACAACCCCCACCCCCCCAGCTTAAGGGTTAGTGCCCATCCTTTAAACTTGGCTTTCTCTCCCCTAACACAAAACCCTGCTTCTGTCCCAGCTCCTCCCCCCCTCCTCACTCCAACGATTTCACATTATACTTGCCCTTCCCCCCTTCCTTCACTGCTCTCACATAGCTGTGCATATTTCCAACACTAGTCTGCTTGTACCGGTTCTCACGGTCTCTTCGCCTGCGGATTTCTTATATTTTTCCTTCTACCCTGAAGATGGAGGCGATACGTTCCTCCGAAACCTCGGTTAACATCACATATACACGGTGCCAAATCCCAGAAGACTACTTTCTTCATTTATGAAGGTTTTATGACATTTATCTTGTACACTAATATTCTTACATACATACTTAGTGCAGGGGCTGCAGTCTGAATGTCGCTGCGAGGGCCTCAGTCTTACGCATCGTTGCTGTGTCCATCGAATTTTGAGAAGGGTTGGCTTGATTAGTATGGTGATGGTGATAGTAGTTGCAGCTTCTGAAACAGAATCCCATTCCATCTGGACATGGCTAACTGTCCATGGAGACACCACAGAGCATGTGGATTTTAGTGCCTTTTCATTTGTGACAAGGTGTAAAAAAATTAATTTGTAAAGTAACTTTTGAAACAGCCCCGGAGTACAAGAGATTAGGTTGCAAATTATTTATCCGGAGAAAGTTTCTCACTAGTGCCTGGAAAGTCATTACCTTTCTTTCATAACTTTTCTTGTTAAAAAAAAAATGTAAGAAATTTGTGCATGTAAGAAGCAAGTCGTACTGTATGAGGAAGGCGAAGGTAGCAAATGTGTATAGATCTGGTGGTACGTGGGTAAGACATGGGTGTAGTATTGGGAAGTAGCGGGTTCGAGACCACGGTGTCTTTTGTCAATAGAAATTGAAAAGTGAATAAATAAATACGATTTTTATGCAGCTTTAAACCAAGTCGTAGAATATGAGGAGGATCGCAGAAAGTTGCAGCATAGATGTTCTGGTGGTCTAGCGGTAAGGCACAGGCGTTGTAAATGAAAGGTCTGTGGTTCGAAACCACAAGAATTTTTGTAATGAGATTTTTATGGAATTATATAGCGAGATGTAACATAAGAGGAACATTAAAGGTCAAAAATTTCCGTTGCGTTGGTGGCCTAGTGGTAAAACACC